GCCAGCAGCAGCGCCCCCGCCTGGGCGGGCGGCAGCGCGCGCCGCAGCCACTCGCAGAGCCCGGGGAGTCCGCCGGGCCGCAGGGGGAACACAGGTGGCGGTGCCTCCTCCAGCACCTCCCACGTCTCATCCTCGGGGCTCAGTGCGGCCGCACGCTCTGAGTCCCCACTGCCCGATTTCTTCGCGCCGCCGCCAACACGTGGCAAATTCTCGCTGCCTGCTTTCTCTGAACCTTCCCCGCTGCCTGCTTTCTCTGAACCTTCCCCGCTACCTTTCTGCAATCCAGCGTCACGTTTCTCCCTTCCCTCACCGCGTGCATTCTTCAACTCCCCTCCGCCAGCGTTCTCTAAGCTCTCGCTGCCGGGCTTCTCTGCCTTTCCCTCTTCCTCGGGATACTCTGGATCCTCGCCCTCGCCGTCTGTTCGCACGCAGACCAGCGGTGCATCTGGCAGCACCAAGGGCCGAACCTGAGCCCAGTCCTTCTCAGTGGGCGCTCCCGGGGTGACGAGGATGAGGGCGTCGTAGTGGGTGGGATGGGGGGCGGCAGCAATGCCCGCGGAGCCCAGAGGCACACTCCAGAGCACCACATTGGGACGCTCCGGGGCCGGGTAGGGTGTGGGCCCCGCGGGCATGAAAACAGGCTCCGCATCTGGATCGCCGGGATCCAACCCGAGGAGCGTGTTCAGCACAAGGCTCACATTAGCCGTGCCGGCCACGGCCAGGTCCAGCCGCGCGCTGCCCAGCCGCTCCAGGCCAGCGCGAACCCACGACAGTGCCGCCTCCAGGCCACCGGTCTCAAAGGCCTCCCGCACAGCCTCCAGCTCTGCTGCACCCAGGACCTCGAAGCCATCCTGAGCCGGTGGCAGGAGCCTGAGGGGACAGGAAGACAGAGGATAAAGGGCAGAAGAGGATCTAAACGCAAGAGAGCTGAGTTCTGGGGACCGGAGTAGGCTACGATGACGAGGGGTGGGGTTTTCCCCAAAAAATCTCTGAAAGAAGAGGGAGCAGGAAAGGGAGGGGCCAGACTGATGGTACAGCACAAAGAAACCAGGGCTTAAAGCAGGGATGGGGCGGGTTGGTTGAGATCAGGTTTCCAAACGAGGCTAAAAAGGGGAACCTGCTAAATCATCCCCTGGATTTAGTCTTGAGGCTGGGGGCGGGGCAAGGGGGCCTTTTCCAAGGGATCTGCAGGATTAAGAAAGGCCACGCAAAACTCACAGAAGGTCGAGCTTGGGCCAAGACAGACCTGCAACTGTATTGTGGACTAAAGGAAAGCGGAGCACTTGTCGACAGGAGCAAGGTCACCAGGGCACTCTTTGCTGACACTAGGTGTAAGGAGGGGAGTAAGAGCCAATGACCGGGAAAGCCTCACCTACTAGTGCTCATCAAGGAGATGTGGCTAAGGTAAAAAAAAAAAAAAAAA